ATTGTTGGTTGGGTGGTTCGTACTTAATGCGCTGCCGTACGGTTCATCTGATAAAACGTTGTCAACTTATAGCTTGCACTTGTGGGAAGAATATAGGCATAGTACGATGGGAATGTGCATATGCCTAAGCACATAGTCCGCGTTGATGACGATATCTTGCTGGCTCAAGCGCCCTGAACAGTGCGCTCTACGCAACCCGCGCACGATTATTAAACAGTCTTTACTGCGCATTCCCCCCTGGCGATTATGAGTTTTTGCGGGAGAGACAGATACAGAGAGAGTCGGAGGAAGACAGACGCGGAGGGAGAAACAGAAAGAGAGACAAAGACTCTCTGAGAGAGAGAGAGTGACGGGGAGGGAGAGAGAGAGAGAGAGAGAGAGAGAGAGAGAGAGAGAAAGAGAGAGAAAGAGAGAGACAGACAGACAGACAGACAGACGGAGGGAGAAAGAGTGACGGGGAGGGAGAAAGAGTGACGGGGAGGGAGAGAGACTGACGGGGAGGGGAGAGAGTGACCGTGAGGGGGAGAGAGTGGCGCGGAGGGAGTCTTACGACTTCTGTTTACTAATCCGGCATGAGAGATACTGATATGTAAAAAGTGGGTTTACCACGTTCAACTGATAGGTGTTTCTGGCAGATTAGAAATTTTCGAGACCTAACTTGTACATGCGTCAGGAGTAACATGTGTTCTCAAGATATCTGAGATTGGTACAGGAGATATTCTGAGTATTGCATAAATAACAGTGCAAAAATTGTAAAAATTGCAACTTTAGCCAGATCGGAAAATGACAAGGCTATGCCAATCCATTTGCCGCAAATCTTTCCACGAACATTCCCTATACACAAGACTTTCATGTGAACAATTGGTTGGTAAATAAACACATGTTCTTAATAAAAAGTGCCACTAATTGTAACTTCTCAGTTTTACTTTTATGTTATTCCAAGGTAGTGGGGGCAGCAGGGGGGGGGGAGTCGGGACTCGGAACAGCTTGTCCAAAATTCAAGTTAGGAAAAAATGATTTTACAGGTACTACTAGCGAGATATTTACCGTCTTATGTCATTAATAAATTATAATTAAAATATCATTAATAATTCTCAATCCTCGTACGCCCCCCTTCATACATAACCTATTAGTTCTCTGACACATGTGAAAGTGTTGAAATAATTCGTACGTAAAGTGTTATATTGCCTCCAGACCATCACAATATCCAAATTCTGCATTTCACAAGACTAACAAGGAAAGATCACGAGCTGGATACTTGGCTATATTTCCTTATGCGTCTAGGAAATGTTTTGGGAGTTCTCGCTCCTGGCTTATACGGGAGGTCATCTTAAATGACAAACGCATTTGGATATAAGCATTGTTTTGTGGTTTAAAGCTATATCTTCAATTTTAGAGTACCTCTTGGTACTATAAAAATCCATGAATACATTGATCCAATACTTCGTCTTAACGATAATGATTTCCATGCACAAAAATTCTACTTGATTCACACAGGTCAAAAATTTCAAGTTAATAAATACGTTATATTGTGGGAAAAATTACTGCATTCTTATATTTTCATATTCGATGAATTATTAAAATTAAAACGTATATAGATGTAGTTTCCTCATTGAAATAACGGCAATGCTAGATAAAATTATTTCACGGAAATTGCTGGATATGTTTAATATAATCATTTGGAAGTCAAATCGTAACGGAAATTCTCAATATAGATATAGATATAGCGGGAATGATAAATGTTTCAGTCAACTTATGGAGACATGGCCAGTTTCTAGAAATAATGGCACAATTTCGATCATTATATTAGTAAAAACAAAAACGTTTGGTTCGAATATGATAGTAGTTGTAGTAACAGAAACAGTTTGATTTTGGTTCTAAAACGATTAATACTGGATGATGGTATTGAAAAGTTAAGGTTTTAAAAAAGGAAAAGGTCTTCAAACGCGGGAAACGGGGACGCATTCTTTCGCATAGTTTTTGCTTACGTCACACTTTCTGCTCGTCTTCTTCCCTGCAGTCTCAATTTTCTCCTCTCTTTGTTTACTTCTAACATTTCATTTTGTCGTTAATTAATATAATTATATTTTAAGTTATCAATATTCGAGTTTCAGGCTTTCTGAATCGTCTTCGCTCCGTCAGTTTTGCGCAGCGCGCTGGTTGGAGTAGCAATCGACCTGTTGCTGATGGTGCTGCGCTCTGTCCGCAGATACATGAAGTACCTGTATCCGTACGAGTGTGAGAAGCGGCGCTTGAGCACGCCGGCAGAGCTCCAGGCGGCGATCGACGGCAACAGGCGCGAGGGACGACGAAGCAGTTACGGCACCTACAGCGAGATGGTGCAACGCTCGCCCGTAGTAAGCCTGTCCAACAGCCAACAGATGTCGCCGCTCAGCTTGGTGACGAGTCGACCTGCTGTCAACGGCAACTCGAACCATCACGGACATCACCCCTATGGACGTGATGTGCAGCACCATCCACCACCGCACCACCCGGCGCACCCACCCGCTCACGCACCACTTGGCCCTGGTACGTGACAGTCCTGCCTTCAAACTCGATGGCTATAATTATAATTATCTATTATATAAGATAAATATTAATTATTATATATTATATTACAATAACATGTATATATTATAAAACGTATTTCGGAATGCCGGAAATTAAGTCAATAATTGAACTTATAATAAAAATTCACATTTTCGGCAACTTGCTGATTAAATTATCTTTGTAAGGCTAGCATATTAGCTATTACGTTGTTACAATACTAAATTTATGGTTTGTTTTGCGAAGCGCGAACGACGTTCATTATGACTCTAGTAATTGAACTTCATATAATCATTGAACTGAATAACATTCAAGCAACAAATCGTTTTAATGCATTGTACATAATACAATCACATTTTCATTGCACATGATTTCGCTGATGATAGCGTCGGTACTATACACATAGTTTTCCATCACGGACAATTTCAGTTATGCATTTGCTCTTTTTGTGTAATTTTTTGTTAACCAATATACATCTACAAAAAGTCAAAACTCATAATTCGCATTTGTAGAATCAGTGAAGCAGTGATTTTAAATTGTTCAGGGTACCCCCTTGTGTATCTCTTCCAGAAATGTCATTTCGAACTTTTATTTGTCAACTTCTTTGAAGGGGCAACTGGATAATGTTGCTAAAATGAAATATGTTCATTTGTTTTCGAAAAACAAAATCCTCTTGATATACAAAAGTATTTTTCTCGTCTATGCCACGAATGTTCAAATGCCCCTTTCACTACAAATTCTCCTGAACATACCTACGTACATTCATCAGTTGCAAAATCATGCATTACGACTGCCACCACAGGCCTGAAAAAGTGCAACAATTTACAGAAAAATCTGCCCCTGAACTGTGAAAGGCATGCAATACCCGCAAGAGGTTCGACAAGAGAGCATATTAAGATCTGAAACTGGAAGAGAAATCAGAATAGCATTATCTGCTAGTCCCTTCAAGGAAGTAGACTAATATGATGGTTCCTAACCATTTCGTCTCCTGTATATTTATTTGTACTTATCACGAAATTGAATGGTATCTGATTTCATCGTAATGAATGGCCAAAAATTAGGTATACTTACAATAATTACGAAAGAAAATCTTATGCTTTTTTGTGTCTGCATTACGAAATTCAAGCAATTTGAACAAAGTAGTGACCTCATTCGATATAACACACGAACCCCCTTAATGAAGGCCAAGAAAAATGATAACCACTCATATCCTTTTTATCAAACTGCTATTGGCTAATATTCAGTAGCTAGTCGATTAGCACGCACAAGGGCTCTCTTTTCATTTTCGGTCTTAACGAGCATAGTTAAATAAAATTATTTATGTTGTGTAGGATGACCTGTAAATTTTCAATGAAATGAGTAAGTGAAGGGAAAGTCAGCATGCAAACGTTTTATAGTTGATCATTTTATATTTGTACCTTTTATAGTTCGAACATTTTATAGTTGCTTGCGATATGTAATGTCATTCGATTAGACATTTTCACAATTCTCCATTTGAAGTACAATACAATGTTCACTAAAGACTAAAGAATTAGTCTTTAGTGAGCGTTGTATTGTATATTTTCTTCTTTGCCTGAAAAGCAGAAATTGCTGAAAAAACAGCAATCACCTCGGATCAAATTGAAAAGTAACCTTCCAATTCAACATTTCAATTATCAAGTTAGACGTGGAGTAGTATTTGAACAATTTTTTAAAATTTATCTTTTAATAAGAAAATAGTGTGTAAATGTTTTAGCATTGCTTACCTAAAACAGATTGAAAATGCTTTAACAAAGAGATACCATATCAAATATATAATGAAGGACTCTTTTTTTGGAGAATTGATGCCGCTGTTCACTCATTTTATAACGAAAATACCAGTTAGCAATGGGAAAGAGCAATTCATTATAATATTCGTCGAACAACTGTTTTCACTATCCCTCCCTTTGTGTATTCAGCTCTCGTCATAACAGGAAAAGCCCCAAAAGTACACACTGTGGTTGCCCACAGAAAAAAACGTTCTCCCTGATAATTATTCTGCTCAACCCTGTGTGTAAACTGTTTTGAAGTGCAATTCATTAGCCCCGGAGATTGCTACTCTCGTATGAAAAATATTTATCTGCTGTGAGCTATTTTATTTTATATTTTCTAATCCACTAGTTTATTACTTTTATTACTATTATTTTTGTCTATTTTATTTATATATTCTTTTTATTTATTCTGTTACATTATGTTCCGTTAAACGGTGAAGTCAATCACGATGTTATCGAGATTGGAAACTCAATAAAAGAGATCTATGACTAGCTAATTATGTTGGGATAAAATTTGAGAATTCTGCTTGCGGTGAAACATTGTTGATAAATATTAATAATTACGAAATCGCTGCGTAACTAATTGAAATGTTCGGATATAAAAATAACCCACCTGGGAATGCTTTCGAGGAAACTTTTTGGTTTAAGTGTAATACGTAACCGTGCAACAACCGGGAGCCGTAAATTGAAGTATTTGAGTGTCACATTTCATTTAATGTAGAAGACATTAACCAAAAGTACAATATCACAAAAAACGCATTTTTGAGAGTTATCAGCCCCAGTTCTTCAGGTTTTAAATTCTCACTATTACATACAGAAGTACTGGGATCTGAACATGAATTCCTGTTCTCCTAGATTGTTACTGGTGTAGGGCCGCGTTGTTAGAATTGATATATGTCACTCGGTGTGCCTTGTTAGTGCGCTATTGGCATGTACATTTGCCGCTCGACCTGACTTTCCACATTCCATGGTGGATGAACCGCTGCGCCCTTAATAGCAACGCCAATGCAATACGAGAGTTATGGTTTTCATGTACAAATTGTTAGCAGACTTTATACGAAAACAAACATCAATGAATTAATTAAATTTTATACCCAAAGGTATGGAAATATAATTTAAGCATTAAATAATACAAGCTATGATTTCTTCAGAAGAAATCATAGCTATCGCTAACTGTAGCAAGCATCTCTACAAACAGCGACAGAGTTGTGGAGCCGATTCAACTTTTGCCTTTACGCTATATTTTTAACAAACCCAATTGTACATAGATTGAAAATTCAATAACTATTGAACTTTAGTAATGTTTTATTCATAGACATCATACCATATTATTTGGCTTTTAAATGATTTTCTCTCAAACACGTATAGTGTTATAGAAAAAGAGCTGTGAACGTATAACGGAGTAAATGATTACAAACATAATGAATGGTTTGTGGAAACATTAGCTTCAATGTTAAATTAAAAGCTGTCAATATTTACGTGTTGCAAAACTTCACCTCTCAATCCGTTTATGTTTGTTATTCTTACTGATGATAGAGATAGACAAAATGGTACATATTAATGTCGAAAATAACAAAATAACAAAATAACAAAATAACTTCAAAGTATGCCGTCTATTTGTAAAACAAAGAACCATTAAATTTCTTAATTCTTAATAAATTGAGTGAATATTTTACTACTTCGAATGCATGTATTGTATTACAAGTTGCATTTATTAATACTTTTTAATAACTCTTATTTGATTACGATGTTATTTCAAACATCCACATCGGTTGGCGACAACTTCTATCAGTGATAGTAACTATGTATCTTTCTATTTCATTGTGAAATTATTAAAATGAAACGTGCGGAAGTCAATTAACATTTTTGTGGGATATAAAAGGTGCACAAATCTCTACCCTTGTAATTTATTTTTAATATCTCTTATTAAATCAAAAGCATTATTATGAAGTGAGAAATGTTATCGATCTGATAGTGCATGAAATGATGCATTCGCCTTCAACAGGAGTGCGTAAATGTATAATAATGTTGCTGTTGTTTGGCACTGCAGTGCTTGTGTTGATGTCGGTGTGGTGGCGTGCGCAGGGTGGCCGCGCATTACAGGCGCCATGCCCAGCCTGGCGCCGCCGGACCTGGAGGCGCGCATGGTGGAGTACGTGAAGCTGCTGAACAAGGAGCTGCGCGCGTCGCCCAGCACGCCCCCGCACATGGTGGTGGGCGCGGGCGGCGGCAACGGGGGCGGGCCCGGCTCACGCCAGGGCTCGTCCTCGCCCCCGTCCTCGTCCTCGCCGCAGGAGGCGGCCGCCCTCAACGCGCTC